TGTTTTTTTTTTTTTTTTTTTTTTGTAATGGTAAATCATGGGAGTCATCTTTTCTTTTTCTTTCAAGGGGTTTTTGTACCATGCGAGGAATTTTTCATCGTGAAGTAAGAATAATCAGTGATTTGATTGGGAGAGAGTTGTTTCTTGGTATCACGGCCTTTACGTCGAATTAGAACCCTTGTATCATTTGGTTCTGTTTCTAATGTTATTTTGGTTTTGTTATATGAGTAACTTGAAAACCAATTTTGATTACAGTTTGGATTGGCCGGTTCGGTTTCTATTTTGGATTTCCTAGTTTTTTGCTCTCTTCACGTAAATTTAATCCAAATCCAAAACCGGGTTTTGTCCGAGTTCCGGTTTTATCCGGTTAGGGCCGGTTTCGGGATATTGGTTTAAACCCGAACCGGATCATGTTACGCGCACATACACTCACGTGTATCACACGCGTAAAACTATAGAGTCCGTGGCAACTTCCAAAAATTGGACTTCTCGGAGATGATACGGCGGCGTTTTGTCAGTTCAAAGGGCAAATCCGTCTTCTTGCATCTCTTTTTGTTTTAAATAATATCATCGTCGTCGTCGTCTAACAATCAGAGGCTTTAAGAAGAGTTTCAAGTTTTCTTCCTCTAGATATTTTTTCTCGGACCCATCAGATGAACTGCCTACAGAATCTCCCAAGGTTCTCGCTTTCCTCAGATTTCTTTAGATTTGGATACGGGTTCTTTGGTTTTGCTTTTTTTCCCCCCGACTGAACTGGTTCTTTTTCTTTTTCAAAATTTTCATTTCATTTGTTGTTTCTGTTGATCATCAGATCCTCAGCTTCAGCGTTGCTCAGCTTCAGGGGAAATGAGAGAAGCGCTCCTTTGGATTCCGTGAAGATGCTGGTACGAACTCCTTCACCGATTTACCAGGAAATTAGAAATAATTTCTCTGTTTAAATTTCCGTAAATAATTTGCAGGGAATGATCAAAGCTGCTGATCCTAGTCTACGAGTCGTTGTGAAGGTATAATACCTTACTTATTTAAGTATTGAAGATCTTAGTTCTATGTGGAGTTCTTACGGGAGATTATTGAGCTTGAGCACAAATGCGAGTCGTAACTAGTAAGAGTGAGACTGGCATTTGTTGATCATGGAAATCGAATTTCATCATCTGGGTCTCTGTTGGATTTTACTTAAATGCAGCTTTTCTAAATCGATCGATAACTTATGTTGGTCTCTCTTTAATATTCGTTCTCATTCTGTCTCAATCTGTTAGCTTGGATTTGGTATATGTGCTTTCTATTATATGGGAGTTGAATGAAGTGTTTACTAATCCGCTTCCAGTGGTCTGTTTGTTGGTATAGTCAAACATTCTGATTTTATTCCCTGTTTCCTCCGAGGATCTTCAAATTTGACTGGTTTTCGCTGTGATAATTCAACACCAATCAAGTTTACATGCCTTACAAACTATGAATTATTTAATCATGTAATTTTCTTCACGAAGATTCGAGAAACGGATACAAATGGAATCTAGTTTATCTGCTGCTGTTTGTCGTTGTCTCATTTGCACGAAAAAATGAGTTTTCTTATTTACATCCTGAGAAACGGAATAAAAAAAACCAAGACAGATGAGTTCTGTAATACTGAAATTTTCTTCTCTTTTTGTTTCATTGATCTGTAGTCCCACTCGTTCTCATAGTTCACCATTTACTATGCTGCTTGTGATTCGTTTAGTAGGCTGTGAGCAGTGCACTGTACACCAACGTATAGATAACTCTGCTTTCTATAATTGTACTTGTCTCGTCTATGAGCATATCAAGATAAAAATAATGAAAGTGATAAGGACTGAGAGTCAAGGAAGAATCTCAGAGTCAGGTTATGATTAACATTCATTTGTTTCTTTATCTTTAGTCTATGTGAACTTTGAGTATGGACATTGAACAGCCAGTGAATTGCTATAAGATAAATCTTTTTGTATTGCTCTATTTGAAATTTATCAAAATGCTTTGAGTTTAGGCAGTTTCAGGCTCAAAATCCAGCTCAGAGATGAGCGATGTCTCCAAGGAAGAAGAGAAGTCTGAAGTATACAGCCATAACATGACAGAGGCTATGGGTGCTGGTAAGACACTTTTTCCTATTTGATTTATTACAGAATCTATGAAGAGAACTTATGCAAAGTAAACATTTCTGATCTTGATGTTTGGAAATTGATGGGGTTTTAAGATAATATTTGTTATTACCTGCTTTTGGCTTGGCTATATTGCCTATCTAGCTATCATTTGTACCATTGGTAAACTCAAGAAAGCAGTTTTTATTGGTCTACAATGTTCTGTTTTTGAACATAACTTGTACTTTTGTTGCTAGACATTGTGTTTGAGATACTGATTAGTTTCTATGGCTTTTCATTTCAGTTCTTACTTATAGGCACGAGTTAGGAATGAACTACAACTTCATTCTGCCAGATTTGATTGTTGGATCGTGCTTACAGGTTTTTGTTCTTTCAATTAAAACACTGAATTTTTTAGAGGCATTATCTATCTTTACTTTGTTTACTTGTCTCTCTTTGTTCTGCTTGATTGATAGACCCCTGAAGATGTTGATAAGCTTCGTACAATTGGAGTTAAGACCATATTCTGTTTGCAGCAAGATCCAGACTTGGAGTATCCTTCAAATTCTTACTTCTTACCCCATGTTTTTAGAAATTTTAACTTTCTTCGTATTGGGGTCCAGGTGAGTCCTTGTTAAATGTTGTCTTGGAAAAAAAATGAATTACCATGTTCCTTGACCATTGTTTCCAGATATTTCGGAGTAGATATAACCAGCATTCGAACATATGCTAAGAATTGTGGTGACATCGAACATATCCGTGCTGAAATAAGGTTAGATCTTGTTAATTAAATTATTATGCTTTTAGTTTTCATGTTTTTACCAAAAGGGAGAAGCAATATAATTTTGTAAGCTATGATGGATCATATAATAAAGAGTGTGAAATCTCCGTCCTCGCTCAAAGTTTTTACTCAATTATTTTCCACGTTTTATTCATGGTGCCTTTTTTAAACAAATTTTCTATATTTCTAAACACTTGGTAGGTGAAACCGATGTGGTATCATTTTCACATGTGAAGGTGTCCATGAGCACATGCACAGATAAAGTCACCATGCACTCACGTTCACAGCACTTAGATGAATGCTTGTTCCTTGAGCATTCTTGGGCTTGATCTATCATAATCTTTGATGTAATAGAGATTTCGATGCATTTGACTTGAGGATGCGTCTTCCAGCCGTGGTTAGTAAATTATACAAGGCTGTAAATCGGAATGGAGGCGTCACATATGTGCACTGTACTGCTGGTCTTGGAAGAGCTCCTGCTACTGCGGTATGCTGCTCATCAGTTATATTGATGTGGTTTTCTCTTTTACCTTTGTTCTTTTTTTTAGAAAAAAAAAATTGGCACTTTAGAATGGGATATACATTCTTCTGTTCCTATGAAAGACAGTGCATTTGTCTTTTTTGTTAGAAATTTTCCTATTTACAGTAACAAATGTTGAGAGAGGAGGAAATAAAATTTGGAGCCTAGCTGCTACAAAAGAAAGATAATTATATTGACCACTATCTTCCAATATCAAGCTTGCATGAATGGAGTGCTATCTGATATTGAACATCTATCTTTTAGTTCTCTCTGAAGAAACTTAGAATCAGTACGGATATGTGGTATTTAATCATAGTCTTCAATTTTATTTGTCTATGTAGGAACGAGCAATTTTTGAACTAAGTTATTTATCGCTACTACTATGATAATAACGGCAATATATATTAATTACAGATGGCATACATGTTCTGGGTGCTAGGCTATAACCTTATGGAAGCTCACAGATTACTTACAGTAAGACGCTTCTAAACTCGATGAAGGTTTCTGTTTACTCTCCTTATTGATGTTTGTCAATTGCCAATTCTCTCTAAATGATATTCTTGATAATTGATACTTGTCATAATGTTAGTGAAGTTATTGCCAATTGGAATATATGAGTTGCACGTTAAAAATCAACCAGGCCAGTTTTCGCAAACTTTCAAGATGAACACACTATGGCATTATCCAAGTCCAGGAATGGTTTAGAATTTAGACGGTTAAGTTTCCTATCTTCTGATGGCTAGCAAGGAAAATAGCCCATAATTTATGATTAGTTATTGTTCTATGCAACATCTCTGAAACTGAAAGATTTCTTGCAGAGCAAACGGTCATGCTTCCCAAAGTTGGATGCCATTAGAGGTGCAACAGCTGATATTGTAAGCTATCTTTCAACTTTAAAATGCTTTTGAATGTGCTAAAAAAAATACACCTTTTGGATTTTGGCTCAGCTCTCGAATTAACATGGCACCACATGTATTGATGATTTTTTTTTTCGTTCAAACAGAATTACATGAATATAATGCCTAATTTAATGGCTTACTGGTCATTTTTCAAGTAATATAACCACAGGGGTTGAAACTAGGACTTTCACTTTAAAAATATGCTTTTCCTATTATATGGATTTGTACACAGAAGCTGATATTTCTCAATATTATTGCATCTAACGGTCTATTGATTATTTGTTGTGAATAAGAGTGAGTCTAGGGTAAATAGAATCTAGCATTCACACATTTATCAGAACATTACAAGTTCATTGGTGTTTATCTATTTCCTTTATTCTTGCTTATGTATTTTATCTTTTTGTGGGTAAAGCTTGTAATTTGTTTCTTTGACATAAAAGCTTACAGGACTAAAAAAGAGTACCATTACTCTGTCATTGAAAGACGAGGGGTTCTCAAGAGTGGAAATTTCGGGCCTTGACATAGGATGGGGACAGGTTTGTATTTCTTATTTACGTTAGACAGATTATGATTTTGTGTTCGTTTAGTACAGGCTATCGTATAAGCTTTACAGCTACAATGCTCTGTTTCTCATCGGAAATTTAGATGTCCCGATTATAAGCAAAAGAAAAACATTGTTTCTGATTCTGCGAAACTAAAAAACTCAGCATAGGAGTTGTTTATCAAACCAACTGTAAAATGTTTCTCAAATCTCTATGCTAATACTTGTGGGAATTTGGATTTTCAGGCTATGATGCTAATTGTGGGTTTTTGATAAATTTCAAAGTAAACTGTCCCTGAGTGCTTTAATCACAAGTGTGTCTGTGTGTATATATGCATGTCACATCTTAACTAACATTTTCATAATTTTGATTTCTGTTCTGGGTTTGATGAATCTGTTTATCCCCGCATGTGATTCACCTTTTTTTTATGTTGCGGCGTAGTTATCTGAATTTGGCAACGTGTTATGTCAAACCTCAGATTGACAAAAATAACATATTGAAGAGAAATTCTATTTACCGTCCAAATTATTCATTTTGTTCTAAGATCATATATTATTGTATATGTGCAAATTTCCGTTTCTGTTTCGACGGTTTTCTTTCCCTTTTTTAGAGGATACCCCTAAAACTTAAAGAGGAAACAGGCATATGGAGTTTGAAGAGAGAACTGCCTGTAAGTCCCAATTGTCTAAATCTTGTTTTGAGCCCTGGATCATGATTTTGATTTTGATTTTGATTACTTTTGGAACTTCACAAGTAAAAGTTTTGGTGGAATCTCCTAATAGGGTAAGTTCTAATATGGCAGGAAGGACGGTATGAGTACAAATACATCATAGATGGTGAATGGATACACAACAAGCTCGAGCCTTTTACACCTCCTAACGACGATGGGCATGTCAACAACTACGTGGAAGTAAGCACAGAGTTATTTTTCATGTTTATGTTTTATGGTTTAGACGTTCTTCCTCACCAGTTATAAAGTAATTACAGTTCATAGGGTTTTACCATTTTTATGAATTCGATGCACTCTGGGTTAAGTTTAATCTCGGGGTTTTACAGGTAGTCGATGAAGATCCAACGGGTGTGGAAGCTGTAACTCGGAAGAGATTATTGAGCGAAGATCCAGAGTTGCTGGAGGATGAACGGCTGAAACTGATACAGTTTTTAGAGGCATATCCTGAAGAAGGTTGAAAGTGAAAGCACATCTACATATTCTCAGACCTACCATTTAAAAAAATGTAATAATTGTGCCACAAAATTCTCTGTCAATGTGGCAATTATATGAAATCAGAAGCCGATCCCATCTGGATGTAGTTTACGGACATGAATATGTATACAACATAGTATCTCATGCACATACATATGTAAAAAGATTGTGGTTTCTTATACCTGGATTCGTATGTTGAGCACCCAAAGGGGGACAGACTGTAAATAGTATTTTTAGTATTAATCTAACAGATAAGCAATTATGTCTTCATTATTATCAATGAACAGTTCCCTGCCGAAAAAAAATACAGCTAAATTTTGTATTGTGAGTTTGAGTTCCAAAAACATAGTACTGTAGAATACAGAGTAATTATAACTGAAAATCACACATTGCAAAACTTTTGTCCTGTGAGTACTCAAAAGTCTTCAACTTCACTTGATGATCTGATGAGCTTTTCCTCTGCTTCTGCTTGTGTTTGGAGGATTTGCGGCAATGGTGCACAGATTTTGAGAATCTGTATGAACCAATAAAGGGTTGGATATACGATCTCAGGATATGAACAAAAATTAGGACAAGAAAGAGAAGAAAGAAGACATATATCTCAAGCTTGCTGTCGGAAACAGATACAAAGAAGTTCTATATTTCTTCTTTGCTATCTCCAAATGTAAAATTAGAAGACTTTGAAACAAAGCTTCAATAAAATGTTCGGAGGGTCTTACAATTTGCAGTGTGGGGAAGGGGGGGGGGGGG